AAAGGATTATTTCTTTCTCTAATGGAGTGACAACCTTTTTCTTGTAATCTTCCCCAAGTGCATCCWAATCCTGCTCTTTACCAGCGAGCCTTGTAATCCTTTGCATTGTCATTGTCACTAGGGTGAATATGTGTGAGAATAGCATAGCACAAATAGAGATAGTGTTGACTTTCTGTGACCATATAGCTTTATGTACATAGAACATTCTAGCATGTTTAATGTATTAACACATTTATATCTAAGCATGTCTGCAAATCGAGATGATTTGCCTCAGGTAAAGCCATGTAAAGCATTAAGATACTCACTTTTTTTTGAGCCCTTGCTGATACTCACTTTTTTTCAAGTCCTTGCTGAGGAGTAAAGGAGTCTTATAAATTCATGTAAAATCTTGTAAAATTCATCAGATTCCTGAAAAAAAAAAGGGGGGGGGACTATAAGAATGACAAAATTAAAACTTTTCCTCTTACTTACGTATTCTTTCACTCACACATTTCAGAGGCCTTTACAAACATCGATTTAACCATCTTCTATTTTCCCTGGATGTATCACACTTCTGTTATTATCTGGAGTATAGAAAGGTTTGACTAAACAGCACACTATTGTGTGCTATAAAGATCAATGTATATAAAGCTGACTAAGAACTGGAACATCCTAAAATAGTTTTCATGTAGATTTTCCTGACAATGTTTACTTAAAAAGAAAACAAAAGTTTTTAATAAAGAAGTATTGGATTCAGGGTTTTAGGCAGATCTATCATAGCAAATTTGAGAGGTCTTCATTTGGAATCTGCTATTTAACTCAGAGGACTAGCAGCAGCTGTGGTCATGGGGAAACAAAGCCATGGTGCAGATTTCCCGACCAAGAAGGAGCATATTCTCAGTCTGACAACAGAGCTACCAGAAATCTAACTCTCCTGGAGGACTGTGGGTGTGGAACTAAATACAGATAGAGATGAAATTTCATCATGTGGATTAACAGCTAAATGCATCATCAGAGCTTTTTCACTTCAGCGCTGTGAGTACTCAGTCACCCAGCCCATAACACTCAGTAGAAGACATCTTCAACCCACTCTTATAGAAGTCTACTCCAATGTCCTACATGCTTACACAAGCAGAATTTAGTGTCCACTCTCCAACCAAGTCACAGAGCAAAGAATGACACTCATAAATCAAAGATTTTCTTTAAAAAAGATAATAACCTCACACTAAAGAAAGTTCATTCTCTTCTTCATTTGTGCACTTGGCCTTGTATACCAAATGCATGCACTTCTAGATGCCAAAATCATGGGATTCTTACCCTGAGACCTGCCTATGTCTGGCATTTACAGGCCCTGAGGACAGCAGCCTGTTATCAGCACTACAGGCACTCACAGCACTTAAAAAAATGTAAGTACGGGATTTCTGAGTCCCATCTCCCYGGAAAAGCATAACTGCCGATATGCACTAGAGCATCTCTTGCTTTGGAGAGCCCTCCACCTGTTGTGCTGTGTTTGCTGCCTCCCCACTTGCCTTTAAAGATTAATCACTAGTTAGAGACATCATGAGAAGCTATGATAGCATACTTAATATTTAATGAGTGCTTAGATAAACATTCTTCATGTTTTCTGTGTGTGCTGTTCCTAGAAGGGCTTGGCACATCTGTCCCACCGGACAAGAAGCAAATTGGTGGCTAAAGAGCAATGTTAGGAGTCAGGACCTCTACGTTAAAGTCCTGCTTCTGCAGAGTATAGAAGCAGGGGTTTCCAAATCAACCTCTACTCACATACCTCCAGTATCAATTGCACGKAGATACTCTTTCACCAAAAGGCACACTCTCCTTACTATAACTTTAAATTATTGTAGGTACTGTTATCCTGTTCCTCTTATTTCTATGAGGACCAAAGTTAGGAATCTCATCTGAGCTAAAGCTATATGCATAATTTAGAATCGGCTGTACCCATGGCACCTAGTCCACAACCCAACATAAAAAGAACCACTTGCTCACAYTGGCACTGCCTTTCTGGCCAGCCTTTTTTATATAGATGGTAATAGCATCCCCAACAACAGCCACCACGGATCCCTCCCCAGCCTGGGACTGAGTGCTCTACGCTGGGAATGATGAATGGAAGACGCTGGCCTCCTTCACAGTCTCTATATATACAATGCAAAATGTGGCCAGGAGCAACTTCCACACCACTCAGTCATGCAGCAAAGTCAAATTATCAGTAATGATTTTTGCAGCCTGGACCACGACGGGTTGAAAGTGCCGCTCTCGCCTCCATCCCCACCAGCCAGGCTGGAGTGCACGTGCGATCACCCCGGCTCCCCCAATGGGATTCCTACTTCAGAACTGCTCCTTTCTACGCCCTCCGGTCTTTCCTGACAATATCATCTGTGACCTAATGTGATGGCAACACTAAATTATATCTTGATTGCTAATTAGGCTAATTAAAATGAAAATAATCAAAGCAAAGAACAGGTCAATCTCTTAATATAAAGTCAAAAATATCTATTAATCATAGAGCATTTTTTTTCCTCCTCTGAACATCAAAGGATAAAGAAAAGCTGGGCTTCAGAACTAGCCCTCTAAACACATCCTAAAAATAGTAGATCTTTGATCTACTATTAAAAATGCTTTTGACTATTAAAACCCGAGGCCAGAACCACAGGATTTGTCACAGCCACCGTTTGCTGCCTTCAGTAATTAATTCACCGTATGCAGCCACACCGCGGGTCAGGGGATCGGGTTTACTCCACGGATCAGCTTCCCTCCCCGGCTGCCGTTTCCAGCACCATCTCCTCGGAGAAGCCAACACACGCGGGCGAGAACAAACCTTCGAGCCCGCCAAAAGCTGGGCCCGTGCGCGCGGGCTCGGGGCCTGCGCGGCGGCGGAGGGCGGCGGCGCCCGCTCCCCCACGGCCGGGCGGCTCCGCTCCGCGCCTCGCCCCGCGCCGCTCCCTCGGGCGGGCGGCCAGCGGCGCTCACGGTCTCCCGGCAACGCAGCGCGCGGCCCCAGGCGGCCTGGGCCGGCCCCGAGCCGCTCCGCTCCGCGCCCGCCCCGCCTCGGTTCGACTGGCCTCGCGCCGCCTCAGCCCGCGTCGCCTCTCATCGCCTCACGCCGCCTCGYSSCCTCTCGCCTCACCCCGTGCCGCCTCGCGCCGCCTCTCGTCGCTTCACCCCGCATCTGCTCTCGTCGCCTCTCGTCGCCTCACGCCGCCTCTCGTCGCCTCACGCGGCGTCTTCTCTTGCCGCCTCGCGCCCTCTCGCCTCACCCCGCGCCTCCTCTCGTCGCCTCACGTCGCCTCATCACGTGTCGCCTCGCGCCGCCCCACGTCTCTTCGCGCCTCCTCGCGCCGCCTCACGTCGCTTCGCGCCGCCTCACGTGTCCCGGCGCCGCCTCGTGTGGCGCCGCTCCGCGACGCTGCTGGGCCCCGGGAGCGCGGCCCCGGGCGGGGAGGCTCCGCGCCTGCGCGCTGCCGGCCCGCTGCTCCGTGGGACAGCGCTGCTCAGGTACCTGTCGCCCTGCATGGCGCCAGCGAAGCCCCCGGGCCACGGGTGACCCTCCCTGCCCACGGGTGACCCTCCCCGCTGGCCCCGGGTGGCACCGGGAGAGGGTGGAAATTACCTCTGCCTTGGCAAGGCAAAGAAGGGAAGGCCGAGAGCAGGCGGGGAATGGAGGGGGTGCTCTGTCCGCCTCTGCCCGAGCMAGACGACACAAAATACCTGGGGATTTAAAATTCATCGCACTGACAGCTGGGGAGGGCAAAGCCTGGCAGCCGCCCTGTCGCAGGCTCCAGTGGGGATAGGGAACACGTTGCTGGTTCTCTGTTTTGCAGGAGCTGTCGCATTTGTGGTGCTACTTGGTGAAGATGTGAGCACTGACAATGTCTCCTCGGGGCCTTGCTGCACAGCTCTGCAAAGAGGGGGACTGGCGTCTAGCGCAGCAGGACTTGCCGGGAGCCACCGCTTTCTACGTGGCCGCCTTCAGCTGCAGCGGCCCCGTGGCTGTGCAGAAAGTGACGTCCTTAGACAGAGGGTGCTGGGACAAAGTGATAGACACCCTGGAGACGTGGTGCAAAGGCAACGGGCAGATTCCCAGGATCCAGTGCAACAACCTGGCCCTCGAGCCCCTCAGTGTTGGAATTGCTGCCAGCTTTCTCTCCACACTAAGTCCCAACAATGTGGTGTCCTCAGTGTATAAACTGGAAGCTCTGCTCAGGCAGGGACGATCAGAGGAGGTGTTGAGTAGATGCAATACTCTGCTCAAGGCTCAYCCAGAGCAGTCAGTAGAGCTGCTGTTGGTGAGGGCATTGGCCCAGGTGCTGTCAGGTACACAAGCCAGGAATGGAGTTGAGGACTATGTCCAAGCTTTTGTGATCCATCAAGCTGAGGCAGTAGCCTATGTGCGTGCCAGGCAAAGAGAACAACTGCCCCAGGTCATCCAAGCTTTCTGTAATTATCTCCCAGCACATCATGAAGAAAGCACAGAAAGCACTGCCTTGGACCAATGGCTAGACAACTGCTATGATTTCCTCTATGCAGTGGCGCCGGATGATATCTGGGTTTGCAAGAGGTATGCAGCTTATCTCTTTAAGAAAAGMAAGCTTGAGGAGTGCGTGGCAGTGTGTAGCAAGGCCCTCAAGGGTTTAACAGCTGAAAAAAATCTTAGAGATGAAGAAGCTTTGGGTCTGCTCTTGGAACGGGCTGCTGCATATTTCTTCTTGGGTGGATGGATGCAAGAAATGATGGAGGATTTAGTGCAAGCCTTCACAGAAGCTCCTGCACAGGCAGAGAAGCACTTTGAGCAGTTTTTCTCGACACATGACATTGAGAGGATAGAAGAACAGGCTAGAGCTGTCCTGGAGGTGAAGTTTGCAGCATACAAGGAGGCTGTGCGTGCCCGAGCTGAGCTCCGAGGCAGTGACGGTTCTGAGCTGCTCCCTGCCGTCATCCAGACAGTCCAGCTCCTCCTTCACATCTCGCCAGGCTCCAAGCGCGAGCTCAGTGTCCGGCTGGCAGACTGTCAGCTGCTGTGCGGGCACATCAGAAGCGCCCTGGAGATCTGTGACCACCTTTTGGCTGCAGAGCAGAAGACTTACTACAATACTCTTCTAGCATTGCGAGGATTCTGCTTCCTCCACACTCACAAGCATCAGGAAGCCCTGGACGACTTCCAAAAGGTTGTTGAGCATGATTCCCCACATCCTAACAGTTGCATTAAAGCCCTATGTGGGCGTGGACTTATCCGGATTTCTGGTGGCAGTCAGTACTTGACAGCCCTGGATTATATCACAGCTTGCCAGCTGAAACTGGAAGAAACTATCTTCACAGTCAAGTCCTACGTGCCATGGAACCAGAGAGGACTACTGGTGAAAATCCTCCAAGAAGAAGGACAAAAGATGCTCCAGAAGAAGAGGTACCCAAGGKTTCAGCCCAAGGATAGAAAGAGGAAAAGGGCTGATTAGATTCCAAACAAAAAAGAAAGTGTAGCTTAGGTAATAGGGAGGTTACTTGTTTCAGATAACTGAAAGTAGGACACAGAACTATTTAAAGCATTAAGTGTGTAATCCAGGAAAATATTGTTTTCTTGTTATGTTATCATCTCATATGATTCATGAAGTAAAATCAATTAAGTCTTTCTATGGAAAGACTTGAGCTTCTGTCTTGAGCAGACAGAAGATTTGCTTTCACTCTCTGTCTTACATTTTGCTTTTTCCCATTATGGTATCAGCTGCAAATCCAGTTATGTTTCACTGTTTGCTAAACTTTGCTGAGAGCCACAGCTGCTTAAGAACATGCCTTTATAAAGACAGATGATGTGTTTAAATGGCCAAGACTTCTGTGGTGCTGGATATGGCAAAATACATCATCCGTTTTGGTATTTTTTGATTTCTGCTCTTTAACTTACAGGTGAGTCAAAAATGCTGTCATTGTCCTTAGCATATTTTCACTAAAGCTGGTCTTTTTTCTTAGGGATGCCCCTGGGGTTTATCAGCTGGCTTCTCTGCTGGTGGAGCTGGATGCTTCTGATGAGGCCTCACGAATCCTCTGTGCTGATGCTCTCTACCAAATGGGCTGTGTGGAAGAAGCTCACAAGCTCCTTTTGGTAGCTCTCTCCAAAAATCCACACAGGTCCCCCATTCTGGCTAGACTTGCACTTCTGCAGTTGAAGAAAGGTTTCTTGTATGATGGCAATCAGGTAAAGACTACCACACTAGCAGTGACAGGGTGATTACAAAATTGAATTACCGGCTTTGGCCATCAGAGGGAAGTATTGCATTTTTTTAAAATGTCATGATAAATCCTGCTAGCCACTAAAAAAGTTTTTATTGTCACCMTTTACTACTCACAGTGAAAAATGAAGTTTTTATATAATTTGCTGGGTTTGTGAAAGCAGATAATGAATAGCATGATTTAGCACAGTCCCTAGAAACTGGGTTTCTACCTATGGCTTCTGCAAGTCCAAAATGGAACAGTCACAACCTGGGAAAGAGCATATATATTTCACCTAGCAGCAATGTTTTTAGTTTTAGCGGCTCCTGACTTCCATTTACATCATATTAACCATCCTCCCTTTTTCTCATACTGTTAAGCTTCTAAAGAAAGTCATCAAAACTGGAGACACCTCGTGCCTCTTGCCTATCATGGACATTTTCAAAGATGAAGACCGAAAGCTGATGCAAACTCAYTGCCATTTCAGAGCGCTATCCCTCTTGAACAAACAGGAGGATGCTGGCATCAAAGAGGCTGTTGCCTACCTTTCTTTTGCCATCATTGCATCAGGTAGGCTCATATTGACAGGAGACTTAATTATGTGGGAAATCAGATTACTGGGATGGGCAAACATCTGATTCTCATCCATCATTACCCCAGTGAGAAGACCGCAACGGTAGACTTGCAAAGGTCGGTGAATAACAGGTTAAAATCTCTTTAGAGTATCAGCTCAAAAATCTCTTTAGAGTATCAGCTCGTCTAGACTCTTAAACAGTACAGCTAAGCAGTGACTGCAATTCTTAATGCCTAATGAGTAGCCCGTGTACTCCTTGAAATGGATTGCTAGGGCTCATTTCAGTTCTCTGAGACATCAGTTTCTTTTCTTTCACCTATATAGGAGAATACCCAGCAAATGTTGTGTCATTTAACACATGAAATCCTCCTGAGGTGCCGTTGAAAACAGCCTTAAATGGCACTGTTCATATGCTAAAAGTTCAGGTACAGCTCCCCTCTGCCAGATCATATCAATACAGAGAATGCACAGAGAACTGTAAACAGAGAAACCACAGCTTTTATGTAACTTGGAAAAGATCATTAATACCCTTAACCCATCTCTTTGCAGSTGGTGGCTTGAAATTTCCTATATAAACATTTACCTGTTTTTCCTGCTCCATAAAGAGTTCACAGGAAATGCAGTGTATTCCATCGTTATACTCTCGTGTTACTGAACATGAGACAGCAATTACAGCTCTGTTGTTAYAGGTTGCTTCTGAATAATGGGTCTGAACAAGTTCATCTGTTGTCACAGTTTTTTTCATGAATATGACTACAGGCTTTCTTGCAAATACAGCTATGCTGTTGAACAAACTGCGTGTTTTCATGTTAGCAGAGTTATCTTTTCAGAGACATTATATCACTCTTTTCTTTGCCATACTTTGCTTCCTTAATGTGGAAGAAAGACCCTTTTAAGCTAAGCAGTTCTTCCATGGCAAAGGAAAAGCAGGATGACAGGGGGATTTTTCTGTACATAATGGCAGGAGGCTGGTTTACCAAAGCAACAGGTACGTGCTCAGAATACAGGGAAACATCAAGGAAATCTTACAGGAAGACTTTCTGCAAAACTTGATTTTCGGTAAGTAACTGACGGGACGCAAGTGCATGAAGTATGGATTGAACACTGGTGACATCAAGAAGAAAAGCCAGGGCTTTTTGACAGTGTTATTATCCAATTACTTAGTTAGACAATTTTTAGAAAAGTTTTCCCAGAAAATTAAGCTTGATCTAGAAAGAGATGAGGACTTCCTCTAAAATACAATGTGATTGTAACTTATAGAGGCTAAGGCTGAATTTGATCTCTGTTCCCGGTTGGTCCTTGAAAGACTGTGAATGAGGTGTCACTTCAACATTGCCATCTAATGAAGAAACTTCCCCTTTGAGAGGAAAGAGGAAGCCATCAGTCCATTTGTTTTATGTAACTTTGAGAGGAGGTGCTAGCTTGTAAGTGATTTGGAAAGGTTATTGAAAGACTGCCAGCTTGGGCTAATTTTAGACTAGCAGTGTAGAGGTAGAAGGTCCATCTATTGCAGCCTCGGTTTGTTACATCAGCTAGAACCCTGACAACCTCCCCTATATCTCCTATTTTGTTAGAAATAACCTGCTATGAATACAGTAATTGCAGCAAACAAGCTGCCCTCTTGTATCAGTACAGCAACAACTATGGTTGCAGGCCAGTGAAAAAGATTGAATGCACCCAGTTACAGGCGTCATTATCCCAGCTTTTGCTAAGGAGAGAGATTAGGCTAATTTTGAAACACTTCAAGCCTGTTCCAAGTAAAACCATCTTTATGTGGAAATCTGCCTTTCACTCCGAGAACATGTTTTGAAAGCAGCATTGAGAAAAAGAGAGATTGGTTTATGAAAATGGAAAAGAGGACTGTTAATTGCTTTGCAATGGTTCCATTCCAGCTAGTGCATTCCAGCTTATCAACACCCCACCTGCTAGAGCAGATGCTTGCTAAGAAATAGACATTGTCTTCATGGGAGCCAATTGACAGAGCCCCAGAGTCTTAATAACCTTTGCTACAGAAGTTTTGGAGCATATCAGAAGAGAGAAAAAGCCTCATTACTGAAAAAGAATTGCTAGGAGCCTGTCTGCTTGCTCATCTCTGCAGGCAGCTGTGGAAGAGGCTGCATTTGCTCACCTCGCTGTGAAAAAATATTTTCACTGGCAGTGGTGACTTGCCATCCAGTATAAAGCTGCCACGGGTATTGATTGCAGCTTTGGGCAAATTAAGATCTTTATCAAAATTACTTTGAAAGGAAAAGGCATGTGCATGACAGAGAGGTATGTGCTCTGCATCCAGTGGAGGCCTGTACCAGGCTTTTCATACTCAACTGCATGTGTTTATTTGGGCAGCATTTATTTGAAAGCAGAGAAAAATCTTAACATTACAAAATCCAGTGCATATGGTGTGACAGCAAATGAGACAACTTCATGTGTGCTATCTTATCCAAAACAATATATATCTTTTGACTTTATCTGATGAGAACAGCTAAATGGTCTTGTACCTCCATCTTCACATATCTCCTCTGTAAAGTTTTGTTATCTACTTTGTGCAGCTCCAGCACTGACATACTAAAACCTGTAGGGATTCTTTATGATTCCTTGGATCTTTAAGCAGAGCACGTCCTGACCTGAGGGTCATGTCATTGGTAGCTTGTCTCCGTTTGTTGCACATTAGTGATGTCTTCAGAGAAACGCGTGGTGGAATGAATACATTCCCTCTTACTGCAGTCTCATCTTTTCCTTACTTTCCAGAGCAGAATCACAATGCTACCTTTTAGAAGTCTCCATGAATATGCATGGAAGACCTTAGGGAACAATAACCAAGGCTGAAACTTTCCAGATCTCCTAAAAAATTCACATAAGTAATTTCATGAGGGCTGGCAAACATGGAATTCCTCTGTACTGCCAGCCTTCTGAGGCTAGGTATCCCAGAAAAGGCAGAAGAAAATAATGGCTGCATTGGAAGATTCAGTGCTTATTAATTAACAGGCCACTCCTTTTGCTTCCTTTGGCTGTTCCTGAGGAGACCCTCTCTTGCTGAAACCTTGAGGCAATCAGAAAAGTAGTCAAGGCAATTTGGGAAGAAACAATGTCTATTGATGTGYGTATTTGGTTTTATTAAAAGCAAGGAAGTTTTTAAGCTGTTTGAGCAATGTGATTTTATGATTTTCATTCTGTTACCTTTTCCATTCATTCCATTTTTTTTATTACAATGTTCTTTTGGCATCKTTAACTAGACTGAAGACTCTTTGAAGTGAGACCTGTGTTTCTTGTGTGCCTGGCACAGTGTGGTTCCTGTTCCTGTCTGGAAAGTTAGAGTTCAGTCACAGTAGGGCAGTTACAGTTTATAAATCAAATTGCAGCCATACATTTACTCTCAGCACAGAGTCTTTCTGTAAATCACTCTTTAAGATTTTTTTTGGGGGGGGGGGGTATATAAATATAAATGTACCCATTATTTTAGCCATTTCCAGAACTGATTATCTTTCTTTTTATAACCTTCAACAATTTTCATTGTCATAAAATTCATCCTAGTGGCAAAACATAGCCCAGACTTCTTTCTTGTTCCAGGTTTGCCTGTTCCTCGGTGGCCTATAGAGCAAGTGTGAAGTACACTGGTTTCTGCTGTCGGCCACATCTAGATTTTGTGTCACAGAGAGAATAACCAGGTTCACATAAATGGGCAGGTCTGGGGGCTGTGCCAGAGAGCTTTTAGGCTGACTTTGGTATTAGGCTAGCACAACACCCAAAGTGCTTTTTCTCTGTAACCCTATGGCCAGTATCAAACACATTCAGATTATTCCAACAGGCCAGGAAAGTTGTGTTTCCCAAGTTGTATGTTGAAATATAGAGAAACTGAGTGTCTTTACTGTGGTTACGGACTTTTTAGCAAAGCTGTACTGAACTCCTGTGCTGAGCAGCAGTGTGAAACCACAACTCACTGTTTCCCTGCAGAATGGCATTCACACATGCATGTACACGAGTAGACACCAGGACATCAGAGCAGACTTGTCTTTATAACTCACTCCCAAAAATATTTTCGAAGATTTCATCCATGAAGAATTCATTCTTTGACAGGATTCTGGTAGTCTCAGCAGGGTATTTAGCTATTGCAGTTACAGCACTGTCTCTAGGAAGCCAGTTTAACATAGATTTTTGTTCTTCTCAACTGAGATGCGATAGTGTGTAATAGACGTTCCACAAGCAACAAAAATACAGGAAACTCATACTTAACTATTACTACAAGTGCAGGCAAGTATCCTCAGGCAAAGGGGAATTATACTGCAGTTTCGTGTGCTTGTTGTAAAAACATTCAACCATGAGGCTGCCTTGTTGCAGAAAGTATCATCAACCAGCTTTTTCCCATTCCCACAGCTAACCTCAGAAGCAGATCTAGCTCTGAAATAGTTGCATTTCAAGTATGATTTTTGCTTGCAATTGCAGCAGATCTTTGCAGCCTGCATTGAGCATTAGTTACTTGTTTTCAGAAGTAAAGGTGTGCTAATTACCCAGTGAATGTGTCACAAGAAAACCCATGTACTAAACTTAGCATTCCGTATGAATTCTATATTCTTCTTCCTCAGTTTAGCATGGTATGCAATTGGTTTTGCATTGGATTTTTTTTATTGTTTATTTGCTTGTTTGGTCACTTTTATTGGAAGGTAGAGAACTTAGACCAAGGCATATCCAGGAGATAAGAAATCCATACAAAAGGAAGGCAGCTGTGGCTGTCAGTGGAGCTTATTGTCTAACTATTGGAGACCTTTCAAATACCTATGGTATTGGAGACCTTTCAAATGAAGATGACTGCATTTCTCTCCTCCAGGTGGCAATGCTGAAGATTCCCTCCTCGTTAGGGCTCAATGCTACAACCACCTGGGCCAAAAGAAAACTGCTATTTTTGATTTTAATGCCATTCTAAAGCAGGACCCTATGAATGTGCAAGCTCTAAGTGGACGAGGATTTGTTTACCTTGCTCTGAAGCTGCAGAAGGTATTATCACTGTATCATTTGATGGAGAGTTTTCTAGTTGTATTAAGCAGTATTTAATATTAGTACTTAACTAATATTAAATAAGTATTAAATATAACTAAGTATTTAACTTTAGAAGTTTGCGTGATTGCTCTGTTTCCATTATGGTTGATAACCTCACATTTTATTTGCATGTCACACCAATTCCCCTGCAAATTTGAAACAATGTCACTCTAAGTGTGTGAATTTGTACAAGTTTACACGGATTATATTTACTCTTTCTAAGACCAGTTCTGCTGCTCTGAACAATTATACACKACATGAATGGAGCAGATGTGTTCTTTTCATGCTCTAGACGTACAAAATCACTGTTTAATTTCATTTGTTTTCTTAACTATTCCATGAATATTTTCCCTTGCCAGTTTATTGTACGTACATTTATTTTAGGTTTTGCAGAACATTTCTCAGACACCTGCTCTCTATAGGAGTTACCTCATTTTCCTCCAGTGTTTTATTGTGCTTTTATTAACTTCTGGAATGTTTGCTACTGCTGTTTTTAATGCTTAAAGTTGCCCAGTAGGGAAGCTGTTTATAAATAACATTATTGTATCTGAGCAATGATATACTCAAACCTGATTCCCACATGCTGTCAAACCACTGGATAGATTGCTCTGGTAGACCGCCTTGGAAAGAGATAGCTGTCAGTTCTTAGTGAGAATGGCTGACATTTGAGGAAAGAAAACAGATTATTCTCACATTAGTGTATGGTACTGAAGTCCAGACAATAGCCTTTTCTCTAACCAGCCGGTCCCACAGAGCAAATAAAACTCATCATTTTACAAAGTGATAATCCTGTCTCAGACTCTCCTTACAGCTCATGTCACTACTGTAATTATTATTGTATTATACTATTGATTGTTCCAGTGAATATGATTTTCAATTTAAAGGAAGCCCTGGAGCAAATAAGTGTTGCTTAATCTGATCTGTTGCTGGAATAAAAGTTTGGAACTGATGCCCCATGTGCTTTGTTTGATTAAGTCTTGAGGTCTGAGAACGAAAAAGGAAATAAAATATACGTTAAGATAAGAAAGTTTGAAAAACAGCCTGTGGACTTGCAATGCCATTAGCAGCACCTCTTGGAGCTCTGACAATTCTGATTTTCCATGAACTGAGTACTTTTTCCCCTTTAAAGCCCATGAAAACTTCAGCAAGTTTCTTGTCCTCACAAACCTGTCTGCATAGTCTTAGACCAACTTTGCAAATGGAAATCCATAGCATAGGGATAGGGGAGAGCAAGGAATTTCCAAAGGTGCACAGCTAACCTGTGGGATAGCTGAGAACTGAAAGTGTTAGAAAAGAGCAGATTATTGTTGATATATCATTGATATATACATCATTGGTGTTACCGTTTCATCATGGTATCTTGTTTTTATTTAGGAGGCAGTGCAAGACTTGACCTTGGCGCTGAAGCTGGAGGCAGAAGTGGTGATCCCAGCAATCCTGTCCTTAAAACATGAAGCCCAAGGGCTAATCATGCAGTGGCTCCTTCAGCATGGCAAGACTGTGTTAAGTGAGCTTGTTGCTACTCAAGAGCTTTCAAAGAAAGAAACTCTTAGAGATCTTCTCACAATTGCAGGAGCTCTAATTAAAATCTGCAAGGATGCACAGTATCGCCTCTTCTATATAGATGTCTTGATTGCAAATGGTAAGCTGCTATCCTTATATCCAGTTGATCAGACTAGGAGAATGGGCACAATTATTAGTCTGGATATCTGTGTTTTTCACATTCTACCTGAAGCAGTCATTCCAAGCTGCAGAGATAATGAGATTTCTAGGATTATAGACAGTAAATGTTACCAGGCAACAATAGAATAAATGTATTGATATACAGCAGTTTTCCAGAGAGGTTTGCAAATGTTTTGGGAAAAGGCATAACCCCTAGGTATTGCCAGAGCACTGAAGCTACCTAGGTTCAGCTTTAGTAAGTTTTGTTGGTGTCTCTCTCCACATGGAATGGGTTATATAGCATATACTGCTGTTAACCAACAGGAAAGTATGAAGAAGCCCTAATTCACCTTCTGGAGGCACTTGGCCACTCTCTTGCTGGTGAGTTTGCCAGTGCAAGACTAGCCGTACTTCAGATGAAGAAAAGGAACATGGCAGTGGCAGCTCGCTCATTCAGCAACCTAGCTGAGAAAGATGAAAGGGAGCTGAGGTTTCTCCTGAACTTCTTAGATCATAAACAACAGCAGCATCTCTCTCAGGTACAACCCTTTTTTTTTTCATGCTATGTCTATGGATTCAGGGGGGAAAGAAATGGGAAAAAAATGGTATGTTCCTTGCCTTGTCTTGAACAGAAGTTTGTGGGAATATCATTGCTCATCAGAATGAGGAACAAACTAGCTAGCTTCTTCCTCCTACCTTGACTGCAGACAGTCAGTGTAGATAACAGACTTGAATCCAGGCTTCTTCCATTGCAGTGGCTTTRTTTCTATCTCTAATAATTCATCAATATCCACTTCTTACCACTTGGGAGAAATTCTTGTTGGTCTTCCTAGTGTGAGGCCTGTTTAGTCCCAAGGGTAAGATGAAGGTTAGGTGAAGGACAGCTAGAGCCTTAACAATATTATGCTAATTATGCTGCTGTTATACTCTGTGTGAGTTACATAGTGCACAGGGCTGACCCATGGACAGTCCATGCTTTGTTCAGTTTCCCTCAGAAATGAAACTGAAGGTTCTGAGTCCATCACATAAAATGCTTCARTCCCTTTATTCTTTTGTGCATCCTCTACAAATCTAAACAAACTCAAGTTTTTATAAAGTGATTTTATAGAAATTTTTATAAAGGTTTGRTGCCATTTTTCTTAGTTAAAACTGTTTGATGCAAAAATGGCATATTATTCCAGTCCCTCTGTGTACTTTTCAGTATTTTTTTTTGATTTTTCCCCAAAATTGCACCCAGCTCTGAAAAGACATGTCCAATAATAAACCCGGACAAGGTCAGATTGATGTTGAGCAGTTTTAACATTTATTCAAGCATCTGCAGTTCTGATTACCCAGAAGCTCTGGCTTCTGAGAATCAGTTTACTTCTTTTTATTCAATTTGTAGATTGTGTGTACCCTGGTGGGAAGCTGTATTATTATGCTTTYTCCTAGGTTATAAAACAAACAACATGCTGATATACTAAATGCATCTTGAGAGGAGTACTTTGTGTATATTTTGGTGAAACAGTAGGAGGACATAAGTAAACAAGTATTAATTTACCAGTCCCTAGATAAAGCCTATTACAGCAAAAAGAGCCCTTCTCTTCCAGATAATGTAGAATGTTCAGTGTTCTGGGGAATAGTTAGGAGATTTTAGAGCCAGTTTGCAATCTTTTATATGAAGTATATGAAGATGATAAAGATACAATCAAGAATACCTCTCTGGTGGCCCTAAAGCGGTATCTATAAATGAAGAAGGTTTTACAGCTGAGTTTCCCTTGCTGCCACCTCTCTCAAATTGTGTTTTTCTCTCACAGCAAAGTGTCTCCATGTTGCTTCCTGAGAAAATGCATGAGGGATTTTTGTGCTGTCAATAAGAAAAACTTGTCATTTTTGGATAGACTAAACTGCATTGGTCTTTTAGGAACTCACTGGTGCCACAGATTAGTAAAACCTTTGAAGAGGTACAGAGGCATTTTATTTTTGTATTTTGTTGGCAAGTGGCGTGGAAGTGGGTCCTTACTTGTAGATTACTTCACGTGGAAGGTTTCTCTGCCACTTGAGAGAAGAGGGGTGGCTGGCCTGATTTCAGACTAGCACTCAATACCAGTGTTGAAAATAAGAGAAGACTAACTTTTATCTTTAACCTTGGGCTTCTGTGCAACTGCGTAAACATTTGGACTCAAGCRTCTTGAGGTCTTTCTTCATTCACTTATCTGCAAAGATTTATTGCATGTGATTATTTTTTTCACTGATTAGTCCAGTATCACTGATATTTTTTTTGTGTGTTTTGTACAGATAAAGGGGGTAAATATGTACTTTGTTGGGGTGGAGGAGAAATGGGTTAAATCATCCACGTAATGTCCTAAAGGATTTCCTGTAGCACTTTCCTTTGCCAATAAGGTTATTCCTGTTTTTTACCTGTGTGAAAGGCAAAAAAAAACTGAAAGTGAAAAAAGTTACAGAGAGGACTTAGGTCAAAAAAAACAAAGATGGTCCTACTGTGCCGTGACTCTTAATTACACTCTTGGGGGTAATGCTTTTTTATCTACATTTCAGAAATAAGGATACTGAATCAATGAAGAGCTTAATGGTTTATCCATTGTCCAAGAGTGTTTCTAGCAGACCTGTAGCTGCCTGTCAGCCCTCACTCAGCACTGCACACACTAAAGTATTACTGTAACTTTCTTTCTAGAGTGCTTGGAGATTAAAGGTATTGTAGAAATTTATCGCTGTTATCCTGGAATCCGGTCTAAAAGCTAAAAAAATTCTACAGTCAGCTGTATAGGAAAGGGTGGAGGAAGGAGAGCTCCTTGATGTACTTTTTTTTTTCATGAAAAACAAGGTAATAAAATTCTCCCATTATTTATTGTCCAAGGTGTCCATGCTAAGGAATCTGTAAACAACTGAGAGAGCCACATGGGAATAGGAGCCTGAAAGATTCATTAAATTGCAAAAGGTCAGAGGAAGGGAGTTTGCTTGTTGCTAGTGCAGCATCAGCCCTTCAGTTTCCTGTGTCCAGGGCTAAATGTGTGACTGGTGACCACCTCCTTGCCCTACTCCTCAGAGCTGCAGTTCTCTCGACTGTCCACATGCCATAGGTTACACAGAGCTGCGCCTGCAGAAATGCCCTCGAAAGCTACGTGGGCTGGGTCTGAATTTGGCCGTTAGCTCACACTGGTAGAATTCACCATTCCACATGCGCTTCATGCAGCAGTTACTCCCTGTCATGGCAAAATGAGAGATTGAAATAGAGGGTCTGCAGGTAAGGAAGGAAAAGCTTTTTCCAAATTGTTCTGAAAACATCCATCCCTCTTTCAAAGCTGTAGGCTTATCACTTCTTCTGGTATTTCTGATTCCAGGCTAACCCTTCTCTAACTCCATGTCCATTTAACTCCCCACTCCTATTTTCTCTGAGGAATTGAATCTTTATCAATCTTTCAACATAACATGAATCACTAGGCACTAAAACTGAGAGGTACCAAAGTATATATGTATTTGTTTCTCATGCCACTGAGAAAATAAATGCACTTAGAAAATGGAAAATTGCCATTTAACTTTACAGATACTATTTGTTTTCAAGAGCCACGCTGAGCTCTTTAGCAAAATGAGCATTTTAGAATTTCTCATGAAAAAACATTCTCTTGTCAGGATGCTCCTCACATGGAAAAGCAATTCCTCCTTGATCTCCAATTAAAATCCTACCATTAAGGAAACATCTGTGTTGACTAATTGCCTTGCAAACACTTGACAGAACAAATTAAATTTGATACTCCACCAAAAATAGTAAATGCATATATAATCAGAGATCCAAGGTGTCTCAGGTCAGGCTGTCCTACATTTCTATGGCCAGAAATATTGAAGTTAATGGCTTATACTGTTTAAGGGCAGGCCTATTTCTATTTCTAGAATTGGAAACTAGGAGTCTGAAAACATGGAGCATTTTACATGCTTTTGCATCAAAATAATTGGATGAGAGTTCTTCCTGAACTGTTAGGAGTCTCTAGTTATTTCAGGTCACTGGTCTCAAATGTGTTACTCAGATTCAACCTGCAATACTGACCCATTTGGTCCAGAGCCTGTTTTCCTTAATTTCATTGAACAGCAGTTGGTTTTTACCCTAGTCAAGTAAACTAAAAAAACAGTGCACACCAGCAGAGTGGAAAAACCGGAGCTGGCAGTTGTGTGTGGCCTTTGGAGAATGCTAGCGGGGTGGCTGCTGAGACAGGGTTTGGGTAACTGCCTTTTGGGTAGCGGGAGCATATGAGGGCAATGTGTCATATCCCATGGGATGAGACTGATGGAAAAAATCTGCGTCGTCCTTGAAATCTCAGCTTGTTTGGTTCAGCTTTCTGCAAGACATAGACTGATGGTGACAGTCTTGTTTATAACTTGAATGCTCCCTGCGCCGCAGCATGTAAGAGCTTCATTTATTTGCAATCAAGGGAAATAATGAGAAATCCATTAGAGGCAAATGGTCCTAATGGAATTTTTATTTTTTATTGACCTTTATAAACCTAAATATACGTCTCTTTCAGTCTTCTCTATATTCCTGTTGTTGTTTTCCCTTCAGATAAGGGCAGATCATTCACTTACACTCAAGATTAATGGTTATCAAAGTCATCATTTGGATAATTATCTTATAGCCTGAGGCATTTTTTGGTAGAGACCAATTTTCATTATTAGCACATGCAATGTTTGTGGGGTAGTTCTTTGGGATCTGATCATGTTCATCTCTGGATAAGTTCGTTTTGAACAAGACATAACTGCTGCTAGCTAAAAAGAATTGGAGAAAAAAAAAAAAGAACCATCCAAGTGAGGATCTAATGCATATTTAATTGTGAATTGCATATCCACAAAAGAAACTAATTAATTTGCTTTTAGGCAAGACAATTCAAAATAGATGAAAAAGCACAATCCAAACAACAAAATACAAAACATAATCATGTTTGCATGTTTAGTGGTGTCTCAAAAACGCTCCTAGAGGTAGCCACTACTCAGTGGTGAGGTTCCATACTAACAATCTCATACTTGCCGCACTGTGAGAGGCTGAGGTTTTTATAGCGAAGTCTGAAATTGAGCTGTGATTCTAAGCTTACAAGGAGTTTTCTTTTTTAACATCTGAAAAAGTGTCTAGGCCTTTTTAGGTTTTCTGTGTCTGTGGCCAGGCAGACTAGATATTTTACTTTTTCTTTCATTTTTGATCACTAATATTACCTAACTTTCTGTCCATAGGTAGCAGCCCAAGAAGGAAATATGCTGATTAAAGAATACCATTATGAGAAGGCTCTTAGTTATTACACTCTGGCAATCCTGTCAAGCCAGGATAATCCAAGGTATCTCCGACAGAGAGCTCTTTGCCTTATGCATCTGAAAAAATACAGCAGAGCTTTAAAAGACATGGAGAAAGTGATCCAGAAGCATGGCTGCAACAGCCTTAAAACACGTGTTCGTGACCACTGCTCGAAAGGACACCTGCTCTTACTGGTGTCAGAGGAAGAAGCAACAGTTAAAGAGTATATTGAGGCTCTGCAGCTGGAAGAATCTGTCGCACTATGCAGCATCACGAAAGGCCCTGGTAGGGAAGTTTTAGCCAAAACATTTCATAAGATTGCACAGTATTATTTTGAAATGCACCGTTATGAGGAGGCCTGGAAAATCACAGGTTATGGTCTCATAGTTGATGAAAACAGCACTGAACTTAAGAAGCTGAAAGCAAGACTTAAGCGAGAGGTATCAGGCTGTCGTATACATTAATTCATTTGGTTTTGGTGTTTCCAGTGTCTCGTTACTTACTAATTTGCCTTCAAAAAAAAAAAAAAAAAGGGAAGGATGAGAAGCTCATGATAAATATGCAATGGATTACATATCTTTCAATATGGCACATGAAGACCAGAAATAAAAATGTTCAGATAGAAAAACAAAACTGACCAAGAGAGCCATGTGAAGAAGACAGGCTTAAATTGTTGTGCGTTTACCTGAACTTCTCCTTATGAAATAACTGTTTTGTTTGACTAATCTGAATTAATTCTGACATTAGTTCCAATCATGGTAAAGGGAAACATTCAGATAACTTTTTCAGTTTATGAACAATAATCATGTTATCTCCTCTCACTTATTTGTTTTTCTTTTCTACTGCTTAATTTGGTGTCCTTCTTTTTATGAGCTAGTCAAATAGATCACTCTGAAGTATTAGGATACAACATTTTTAATGAGTTTTATATGTGTGAAACATCATGAGTGTTACACTAGTCAAATATTTCCCTTCTGAGTGTAAAGAAGAACCACGCATGTCCTGGTTTGTTGGATTTGGAGTGCTCTGCACCAGTCCAAGCGATCAGTGGTCAGTGCAAATGCAAAGCAAATTGCAGGTCTGTCCCAAGGAACATAGGGGATGTGAAGGATGAGATCCGACAGCAATGAAACATCCAGTGTTGTGACTAATACCATGTTAKGTGGGACGCACAGGCAGCTATGCTCCTCACTTTACATGTGACTTGAAGATGTCTGTGTCTCAGTTTGTCAGAGAAAATAATGAAAATAACAGCCTCAGTAAGGGTGTCCGCAAGAGCCTGCTGAATGGCATCTTTTGCATCCTGGATGTTCCTGGATGAAGGACAGCACAGAAGCATGAAGTGTTCCAAAGGGAATCAATGTGCAAGGTGAATGAGCAAGAGGCCAGACCTGGCGGCTGGAAGCAGCAGCCGTGACTGTCATGTGGTTTCTGTGCAGGCACTCTGCTTCCGTCTGCCACTGCCCATGTGGGGCAGCCCTGGCTATCAGCRTCGCACGTGCTCTCAAGGACATCACCTCATGTTGCCTAAACAGCTTTACCACCTGTATGGACACCTAGACTTAGGGAGCAGCACAAAGGCAGTGTAGATGTACCCAATTTGTATATGTTTCTGTTTCACCTACGCAATGGGAATCTATAGCTTGAATTGGATGCAGTACGTATGTGCTCTTGAAGAGGAAGCAATGAACCGGGACTCAAAATAACAGGTATGTTTCCTTCAACTGACAGCAGCTTCAAGTGAGTCATCATTCACCGTGTTTGTGGAGTGTGCTAAAACAACTATATAGAAAAATAAAAGCTACTGTTGAAAACAAAGATTAAAGCRGCACTGAAGAATACTCTCCTATTCTGATTAGGATGAAAGGGAAAGGACCATTTCCTTATTTCTGATGTTGTTCTCTGAAAAATAAGATTCCAGACCAAAACTTCATTCAGCATCTTTGCAATCAACCTCATAAATAATGACTACATCTTTAACCTTACATCTTTTTATTCTGCAGATACTTCTCCTTATATAATACTGTCTTAGGAACACAAGTAAAAATGATCCTTCTTCCCTTTCAAAGCCAAGTAACTATGATTTTATTACTAGCAACACTGAATAGTACTTTTTGCTTCCATTTTGACATCAGGTTCCTATAGAACAGTTTCCTTTCAAGCAGGAAATCATACCCTTAAATTAATGTTGATTACACTTCCTGAAATTACTTTGATAAGAATAATGATTTTTTTTTTCGATAGCAGTCAACACGTAGGAATTTTCTGTCTTGTGCTAGAATTTTTGAAAGTACTTTTTTATGGCTCTGGATTTTTTTTTTTTTTTTTTTTTTTTTTTTTTTTTTTTTTTGTCTAGAGGAATAAATTTCTTTACAGCTTCATGTCTACATTTCTCTTAATATTTCCTCTTTTAATTGCCATGCTTCTGTATGTTTTCTTTAAAGGATGAACTGCAGTTTATCAAAATTATGGAGGCCTTTCCTACTGCTTTGAGAAGCTCTACACATACTGTATGTAGAGTCAATGGTTGAAGATGTTCAGAGCAGGAACTGCTACTTGAAAGTCTCTTGCATAACACACCACTAGGGCATGTTCCTACAATGTGGTGGTATAAATGTTGCACTGGTACGTTCACATGGGGCAGCACTGTATCAAGAAGCAAATATGGCTAGTGACTGTGTGCTAGTAGTAGAAGTAGTTCCAATTTACTTTGAAACTAGCTTCAAGCTACATTCAGCCCGAGGAAAGATTAAGCACCTGCAATTTATTTAGATGTAAGCTGTGTGCAGACACTACCAAATATGCCCCCTCTGCTGAACTTTGTCCCTTTAAAGTATTCTGCAACCTCAGCAGCACAGTGGTCAGCGGGTAGTGACTACAGTTCATCTGCAGGTAGAGCAGCTGGGAAGAGACTGCCTTGCTGCTCATTGTCACCAGGTTATCAACAAGGAAAGAAAGCTTTGAAATCGTAATTGAGATTGACAAGTAAACTCAATTGGTGTAGAAAGTGTCTTGGCTTTAGAAAGTACTCAGCATTCCTCGCAAGATTATAAAAGGAAAAGTAGATGTGAGAATATTTATAGAACAAATAACAGTTACAAAAGTAAAGTTTCCTGACCTTCTGTTCTGCAGCCCAGCAGGCAAAGAGCAGTTGAGAAATGGCAAATTGGTTAGGACTAAATACTCAACTGGAGACTTCTCACGGAGCTCAAACAGGGCTAAACTTTGAACTTTTGTGTTTTAAAAAGATTTTATTTCCTTCCAACTTACATAACTTTTGTTATTTTTCCCATTTCAGTTACCTATGTGCTGCCAGGTCCTGAGAGAATCTAAATTAGTCAACTTTAGCTTCAGATCAGATGCATTTTTGAAGTTGGCATTTTCCTTAGGGAGTCTCATCCATTGTGCTTTTCAGATTTAGATCACAGTTTCAGATCTAGACCGCAATGAAACTTTGGTCTGAGTTAAAACCATGCAGACCCAGTAACTTCAGTGAGCTTCCTTGTTTCTAAGTGAGGACGCTCTGCTTGACGTGCAGAGGCAGATGTTTCGTTTTAATGACAGCTAATCTAAAAGCCATTTGTTTTACTATCATCTCTCTGGGCAAGATAAACTATGTTATTATTGTACTGCTTCTGCATCAAGCAATTTCCAATTTGCCATGTCTCCAAGAAGTTACTGTTGCCATTAATTTAATGCGTTACGTGAGATTATCCTTGGCATTATAGTCTGCCTTTGGAGTCTCGGTTATTTTAACCACATTTCTGCTCAGCTAGTCTATGGTGGAATCTTTTGGTTTGGTCAGCAATTATTCAAAGACATCTTAAAGAAAAATGGTTTGTTACGTAGAAGGCATAGTTTCCAAAGCTATGAGACCAGGGGGGCTCTTCCTCCCCCMTCCCTCCTCCTCCTCCTGCTACGGCTTCCAGAAACATCTTCTTCATACTCATTCTGTAGGATTCCAGTGAGTGCTGCCAGCCTGCACTTGCATTTTCCTCATCCTTGACATCCCAAGCATAGGACCAGTGATTTATTTTACCACTAAAGTGCTAGGATACAATGCAGTGCAAGAAAGTTTAACCTGCCAGCTTATCTCTGTAATTAGATGTCTCRCCTTCAGCACCTTAAAAATTTGAAGATCCAGCCTGATAATTTCTGTATTCGTATGCTCTCTAAGTGACTCCAGAAAGTCAACAGTTAGAGAAAATAAAGCTAATACAAGCATTTCTCAACAGAGCATAGAGGAAATTAAGAACAATATCTGATAGTAAGTCTGCACATATCATTCTTGAACTGCATCACAGTAAGTGAGGAGAAAATTTAGCATTGGAACCAGAAGGGAATTGTAGGAGGGGGCARGAAACACAGGAGGATGTTAATGATTCCATTMTTTTCCTGTTCTGCATTTCATTATGTCCTTTAGTTGTACTTTCATCTCCAGGTAAGTGTTGTGTATGCCTAGTGCAAGTTAGCAAATATGCTCCTTAAGTGTCACATAGCATCATGTATGGGGATCTGAAGTCATGAGGGAACCACGTTTTTAGATCCAGATCAGCAGTGGATAAAATGAGAAACAGCCAGCAGTTATTATTTTCCTGCTTAAAAGGACCATCTCATGGAGCATCTTGATTGCTTAGAAACCTCAGATGTCATATTATGACACATTCAAGCACAGGTAATATACTCAGTACTTTCTAAAATTAAAATCTTACGGTATTAGGAACACTTCTGAAACTGGATTGTCTGAAACAGGAATGTTTCTTTTAACATAGAGTTTTAATTTATACCTTGATATTTGCTGCTTTTTTGCAATCTTGCCGACCATATGTTTGCAGTTATTTCTTCTTCTGCATCTTCTGTCTGTTCTTGGGCAATAATATCTCCTTACTGAAGAAAATAGGTAATTAATCATCTACGCGCATTGTGTATGCCCACATCATTAATGTGTTTGAATGTTTTAATTGATTGCATTCTCAGCTGTTATGGATGGCTTAAAATGGGAGCTAATACAATCAGTTAAGCCTCCTAATAAACCTGACTGATGACCTGCAATCTGATCACATATCAGGTAGAGGTGTAGAGGAAAAGGCCACAGAATTCACCAGTCAGAATAAGACTGTTGTTTTGAAGGACCCAAATATCAAAAGGAAAACTTCTATGTGATTATAACTTGCAGTGGATCCTGTATCTCAGTCCTGTAACACATGCTTTGGAGCATGTGCTTAAATTTGTTTTGATGCACAAAACAATTGTTTGTTGATTGCTCAAGATCCTCCTAAGAGCTTCACCTATAATCTCTTCTTTCCGAAATACTCTACTAAAAATGCATTGCCTTTTGTGAAATAATTTYCCTAGACTTTTCCAAACTTTCTTAGGGACATCAAGTTATTCAATTCATACGCATTCTAAACAATGTATTAAACAGAAAGAACTGAAGTGTACCATCTGAAGTGGTAAGAGTTCCAGA